TGAGACCAGCTCTGCTTATCGCTTTCCGAGTATTCGATATCGGTTATTCAAAAAAATACCCGTAATCGGTGTACCCTTATTTTCAAGTTCATTAATTCATTTTTCTCATGCATGTATTTCTTTCAAGAGATAGTTTATATATTCGATTTTAGATTGTGTGATTTGATGAACAGAACAAGTCTATTATTATTATTATAAAGCTATGTAAATATCTCATATTCTACCCTGTATTTGTAGACCAGTGCACGGTGTACAAAACTCATCTTGTACTGTGTTTATTAGTTTCACATTAAACATGTTTCAACAAAAGAAAAACTAGAATACTTATTGTTATATATTATTTTTCAAATAATTTACATTGGGACAACAATATAAAAGAGAATGCAATTAGATTGAAAAGAGAACGTTTTGATTTGTTTAGAGAACACAAATTAATTGGGATAGATAAAAAATCGTAACTATCATAGGTGATGCATCCCTAGTCGAAAAGAACTTTATGTGAAATGTTCCATATCAGTCTGAGTATTTTTTGGTATAGCGTATTAAATTCGTTAGTTCAAAGTACTAGTGGAAAAAAGAAACGCATTGTTAGAAAAATCTATAACAAAAAATTTCATATAAAAAGAATCTCATAGACGTTTTACCCTTACAACTGTCAGAATCACGTCGTAGAAAATGGTTGTAACGCCAAAAATATTAACATCTTGATCACTATGATCTGATGATAAAGAATTCTAAACACATTAGTACCATTCTAATTTAAAAATTCTAACTTTAACAGTGGTCGAAGCATGATCTATGTATCTTCTCCTTTCATCTAAACTTAACGATGACAAAACAAAACGGTTCATACACAAACTCCGCACATTTTCATCCACCCATCACCTTTGAAGATTCTTTGATCTCAATCTGAAATTAATTAAAGGTGTGCGAAGTTCGAGAAGTAACGAAAAAACACATACATAAATGAATCTCTATCATCTTATGTCAAAAAAAAAGAAGAATGTATATTGGTATTTTAAATAAATTTAATGTGTAAATAAATCTAAATATATAAATAACAGCAAACAAAAAAATTAGACAAAAAAAACATCATTGAGCCCGTTTATACACATTTGTTTAAGAAAAACACGACTAGCACCCAAAATATGAAAATAATAGAACATAAATTGATTGTTTACATTAACGTTTCAATTTTGGTTTGGGTTTTGCTGATGTGGTGGTTGTCGAAGTAAGAACATCATTAAAAAATTGATCACTATTCCAATCATTCATCGATGTCGTAGGTTTGGTATCTTGAGTCCAAGACGATTTGACGGGCTGTTGTACAGGAGTTGGAGAAGAAGAGGATGACATAACCAAATTGACCTAAAAAAAGTAAAAGAGAAAACAGTACATACAACGGAAATTGAATAAAAAACAAAAAAAAAATCTCTAAAAAAAAACAACAGTAAAATTATATTTGTACACACTGCTGTCTGTTGTTTAACTGCTGTTGTTGTTGTTGTTGTTCCTGAAGATGTCGTTTGTGTAAAATCTTCCCATTTATCGTCCGAGTCATCGTTTTGATCATCGCCCCAATCATTTCCTTGAGTTATCGTTGTAGGAGAGGATAGTGTAGATGAATTAGGATTTGTTTCCCATGTTGACCACGATTTTGTATCTTGAGATGTTTTCCATTCGTCATCCTTCAATCCGATCGATGATGTATTATTGAAAAATGAAGCAATAGCAGACTTTTGACGCTCCTAGAAATTGATAAGAGAAATAAATACAATTTAATTTAATCTTTAGATTGTAAATTAAAAGTGTTATTTACATACTTGAAGTAATATATCATCATCATCATCATCATCCCTATTTTGCTGGACAATCTTTGCTGCCGCTGCTGCTGCTGGTGGTTTATTTTTTACTGGTTGTGATTGTTTTGATTTCGTTGTATTATCACCACTACTACTATTAATCGATGAATCTTTTACCACTGGTGATGATATTGCCGTCGGTGAATCTATAACAAGAAAAGGTTTAACGATACACAGAAGATCCGAGTTTGAATTATGAACAATTCGAAGAGAACAAAAATTCAACACTGCATACAATGTCACTTCTTTATTTTGTGTCAAGGTCATCACAATAATTTGCACATTAGACAAGTAAAGGTGCTTGATATTTAAAATAAATTCGAACAAAAAAATTTAATTTTCCCTTTTTCTTTCACATAATTGAATAGAACTCATTAAATTACAGAGGAAAAGATCAATTTTATTCCTTAGAAAATGACTTTCCTGTTAAAAACAGAAAAAAAAAATTGTAGGAATGGATTTAGTGGAATTTTCATAATAAGCCAGTTTCTCAACTTCATTACTTCTTAAAATCCCTAAGGTATTTTTTTCTGATTCTCCATGCAAAACTGAGTATAAAATACTAAATTTCTCATTTTTAAAGGTTAAACTGGACTAAGAATCCGTTGAACCGGAACAGGATGAAGGTAAATGTCAGCGTCTACTTTTTACCATTCTATATTTTTAGTTTAATCATTTAGCTACTTAGTCAAAGAAGAAGCTCGTCGATACATTTTTAGTTAGTAACTTGAATACTCTGAAAAATTTCAAAATTTCATACGACTGGAGATTAATCAAGTATCCTCTCAATTAATAAAAGTAATAGTCAGGACAGTATCACAGTTTACTACACATCGAAACAAATCTTGTTCTACGATTTGACCAGCTAACTCTGCTACCAAAATGAAATTCCGTCACGGTTTTCTTTTTTGCATTTTGTTTCTCTTATAATTTTCGAGTGACAAGGCGTCCAAAGTTTTTGCCACACTCACTTTTTCGAATAACTTTTAAGAAATAGATATTTGTATTTTCATCATACCTTTTGAATGAAAGAATGTGTAGACTGCGAGAACATCTCAAAATTTTAAAGCATACTTTTCTCTTTAATGTCGTAGCTTATCATTCACAAATTTATGAGAGACACAAAATGCAAGAAAACTATGACAGAATTTCACTCCGGTAGCAGAGATAGCTGACCAAATCGTTTATTTTCTTTTTGAAGTGTGTTGAACATAATGAATGTATCGTAAATCTTACTACAGTATGCTCTTCAAAGCTAATCGAGTTTAAATGCTTACATTACAAAAATCGAATGTTATTTAAACATAATAAAATTTTATCCAAAAATTTTTATAAAGAATTTGAGAATTTTTGCCTTTTGTTTTTCAAAACGTTTGAAAATTAGAATAATTGCTTATCTCAGCCAAATATTTCCCGTAAAAGGTGAGAATAATTAGACACAGACATAATCGGACTTTAATCTATTTTTTTGTCATGATAGATCAATGTAAGATAAGGTTTTACTTTGAAAACAAATTTTCGTCACCGAAAATAATTGACTCTAGGATAAGTCGTGACGCTTGAATAACTTCTTACCTGTTGGATTGTCAGTTTTAGACGTTGAAAGTGTAATAGATGGTTGAATTTGTTTTGTAGTTAATGTGCCAATTTTCGATGTCAATGATGTCAATGCCCAAGATGTCCATGATGTTTCGTTACTCAAATTAATATTTGTCGAATTCACCTCTTTCTCTGTACGAATGAAACAAATAACTATTATATTATTAAGTCTAAACGGCATTAGCATTCGTACCCATATCGACAGCTAATTCTGGATTCTCTGATACAGTTTCCAATTTTGTTAAAAATAAATGAATTGTTTTAAATGCCTAAAGTAAATAACTATTGACTATAAAATGATTTTTGTTTAAAAAAAAAATCTTCGAAGCCTATGGTAGAACATTTCTAATAAATTCTATTTTGCTAGAAGAATGAGCTGCTATACAAAATATTTTTTGACTAGAGAAAATTTTTTCTCCTCATTGGAAGCAAAAAAAAGAAACTTTTACAAAGGTGACGATTGATCCTTTATCTTATAGACTATCAATGGGAAATTTTCATACTTGTGTTCGAACATCAATTTCTGGATCTATGGTAATTGTACATAAAATAGGTACAATTTTTGTTGCAATATCTTTTAGAGTAAAAAATTTTTCACTATGACCAAACGCATAAACAGATGCTTGACGTGATGGACTAAATGAATCTTGACAACCACGACTAAATGCTGATATTAACAAACGTGAACGAAGCTAAAACAAAAAGAAAACAAAAATTGTATACACAATTTAATTTAATAACAAGCAAAGATCAATTAAACTATGAACGTGTTTTGGGCAACGGTTTTTATAATGAATAACAATCTAAACGTTTTATTTAAATATCGTTCGTTATAGAAAGAAGAATACCACGTCCTGCAGATACCATTACTAACATTGGATGATGAAAAGTGTCGGTTTTAATAGTTGACATAATCATGATGTTGAATGGATGATTCGAGATACTAACGTATAAGTAACTTGTTTAAACTTATTAAATGATCTGTAAGTGTCAAGATTTAGACATAGTGAGATAGATTTATTTTACACAAAGATAGGATATCACAAAAAAGACTTGTGACATCTGGAGACACCTCATGATAACCTAAACTAAACAGTTTTTAAAAAGAATCGCTACTATAAGACATACATTGTAAGAGAAAACATAAGTGTGATACATTTTAAGAGAAAGAGTAATAAACATAAAAATTATTGAAAGCCTAGATGATCTCTTAACATACGCTTAAATACAGATAAAGAAGACTAACATACTAAAACCGAAGGAAGTTCATTCCATTCCTTTGAGCCATGTGGAACGAAACAGCTGGATGCAGATTTTAGCTTGAGACGAGAAATGAAAACGCTATTATTATGACCTAATCGAGAACTTTGACGCCTAGCTAGTGGTGAGATCAAATCAAAAGATGAGAGAGGACTTTTATTATAGAATATTTTATGAAAATACAGAAGATGATAGTACAGACGTCTATTAGAAAGTGGTTGAATTTTAAATTTTTTAAGCAAATAAGAAGAACTATTAAAGTTTTGTGAGATAATTCTACTAGCAAGACGCTGAATTTTGTTCAGAATATTATGGTGAGCGATAAAGGTTGAATCATAGATAACACAAGGATATTCGAGCACTTGTCATACACAAGTTTTATACATTTGGCAGCGTAAAAACGAGGACCAGTCTCGAAAAATTCTGAAAATAGAGCCTAACATTTGCCGAGATTTAGTTGAAACATGTGAGATTTTCACGTTAAATTATGCGAGATAATAACATCAAGTAGTTTGAGAGATGAAACACGTTTAATAATAATGTTTTTTATTGAAAGAGTGAGCGATGGAAGTGTTTTTATAGAGTTAAAAAATAAAATCCATTGACATTGGTTTATATTTAATTTTATCTCATTTATATCACATCAAAGAAGAAGCTCATCGATACATTTTTGTCCTTCGAATATATTTGTGATGCAAAAGACATTGTCAGCAAAGAGACAAGAAAGAAGAGAAGATTTGAACGACGGCGAAAGATCATTAATAAATATAAGAAATAAAATCGGGCCTAAAATACTGCCCTGTGGTATACCAGACGTCACATGAACGGAAGAAGAAAAAGACGAACCAACGGAAACCTTTTTGAGTACGATTAGAAAGATAAGAAGAGAACCATTTAAGAAGAATTCCTGATATCCTTGCTTTAAACAGTTTTTGAAGAAGAATATAATGTGGCACGGTGTCAAAAGCCTTTTCAAAATCAAACGAAATATCGATTAACTTGTTCTTTTTCTCTAAGTTCTGATAAACCTTATGTGTAAGAAGAAGAAGAGCGTCTACAGTTGACGTACTAGGAAACTATGAATAGCTTGAAAAACATCGGATACATCAATATCAATTTTTGATAAACTTTGAGAAGATGATAAATGAAAGCTGATAGTAAGTCTGAAGTACATGACAAACAACATGACCATTAAGTCATACTATCAAATATAGGTATAACTTACACTTGGATTAAGATAATGTGCTATTTTCCCAAGACAAACAATTGTATTTGTTCTTATAACACCTTGATCATCATTTGTTTGTAAACGAGAAAAATGTTTCATCAATTCAACATTCAAATTTTTATAGGATAATTTTGGTGCCAAATATAACACGGACTAAAACAAAAATAAAATATGTATTTTAAATCTATTACTCTTTTTCTAAAATTTAAAATAGAACATATTGAATTAACATTGCTTATGTGATATAAAGTCTAACACTACATGCTCTAGGTTACAAATGTGCTCTGATTGATCGTTAACAAATAAGGAGCTAATCAAGTATAAGTTAATCCTAACTTGTTAATTGAACTGAATTTCCTTTCATTGACAAATAGTAGATATTACTCTTAAAAAATAAAACAAAAATACATAAGTCAATAGAAAAGCAAAAAAAGCTTTGTATGAGGAAAAGAAAAGAAAACTAAATAAGGAAAAATTAAAAATACGCAAAAGAAATGAGATATTATGCATATGCCAACTACAGAGATGAAGTTTAATGGCCTTTTTGAACTGATCGAGAGTGTACACCGAGACTATATCCTCCGGTAAACCATTCTGTTCTATTGCTGTTCAGTAAAAGAATGAGGATGGTACATGAACTTTAATTATTATAAGAGTATTTATTTGTCGAGAGTTTATACGGTTAAAATTCAAATAGTTAGATCTTCGATTTGTCAAAGGTTCGATGAAAAGTACGTTGAATGAAGAAAGAGCTGACATATTATTTTTTATTTTGAAAAATTGATGTAAATGAAAAGATTGCCTTCTTTGTGATAAGTCAGACAATCTTAATTTGTGTATTAAATCACTGACCGATTCATCAAACTTTTTGCAAATATCAAGAGCAGAACTATATCATTCATTGTCATAAATAACTGAACAGAAATCTAGTTTACTTAAAATGCACGATTTTGAAAATTGTTAAACAACTTGATTAAGATGCATCTCTAAACGCACTGTACATTGTTCCCAGTTTTCTTCTTCTTCTGATTGAAAAGATTAGCTTTTAATGTGTCATCACTAGAACTTTTATCATCAAATAGAACAGTAGCTGGAAGGTTCATCTCACGCTTGATAAATTCCTTTACGAAATGACTATGATGATCTAAAATTAGCTGCTAACGTATTAAAATGTATTTTTCTTACAACGTCTTAACTCTATGATTACTTTATTATACGCAGGACGAAGTTTAGAAAAAATAAAAAGAGAAAATTTTATTTATTTTTTTTTGAAATAGCTTATCATGTTGACGACGAAGCAAGTAATAATGTTTACTTGGACGAAAAAAACACAACATCGCCCATTTCTTTTCATCTCTTAATGATACATGCTCATTCTCACTAGGTGAGTTGTGAATAATCTCTTAAAATATATTTAAAGTACCATTCACGTTGTCTATAGATAAATAAATCAGAAGAAAGAGAAACCTACTTTAACAGTGGCTTCTCTTATGGCAGGTTCTTGATCAGTAAATCCTGTGCATATATGTTGAAATATTTCATCGTTAATAATGGACGGTGATAGATATTCAACATATAAATCAAGCTAAAATGAAAACGGCAAATATTTAGTTGATTATAATAAGAAGATGAAACAAATTTAATAGATTTGTTGAATCAATGATTATGCGAATAATCAAGTTAGTTATTTAGTTGAGTTTATAACTTTAGATTCTACAACGAACGCTTGTATACAAGACATACTTGTTGTAATAATCGAAATCTTGTCATTCTGTCCGTCGATTGAAATAATTTTGTAATAATTGGTACAATTTTTTTCTTATATTCTTGATCATTTAAATTTTTTCCTAATTTAAACAATGTGGGTAATACTACTGATCCACTATTGCCAAATTCATAGGCATTAAGCAGAAGAGGTAATAATTTATTTTCATTTATACGTGATGAAAATTCATCTACATTCTCTGGTAATTGTTGAAAAAATTTTTGTTTATCATTATTATCTTTCAGCTGAAATAGAGAAGAAAAAGAAGATTATTTCAAATGTTCAAAGATAAACAACAAAATACTTCTACAAAACTGAAAAGTGATAAATGAATAATAGAAAATATTTACTTGAATTTCTTCTAAAAATAGTAGCGAATCGACAAGAACATTTTTCATAAAACCATTTTGTTGACGACATATATCTAAGAATTTTGTTATCGTTGGCCTTAAACTTGGATCCACATTGATTAGTTCACAATAAGATGGTACCAATGCTTTTGGTATTGAATGAAACTTTTTATATTGAGGTTGATCGCTACTTTTTAGAGTACTTGATAGATTACTGTTAAATATTTCCCAGATCATTGTACCCAATAGCCACATATCACGTGCCCTAAACAAAGTCAATAAAATTGATTTGTCAATAGAAGACCACAGGTCTATCCTTCTCAGTGTAATTTATAAAGTGGCTCAGAAGTAATAGATTTTTCGTGCCAAACATTAGAAATGATATGCAATTGAATTCAGTATATTTCTTTACTTTAGTGATGTTTGCTTTGTTTGTCCACGTGCTTGTTGCTGGGGTGGTTCATACCGTTGTACGGCAGGTAAATAACGTGTTGGTGGATGTTGCAAATCTGAAGTATTACCATCTGTTTGTTGTACAAATTCAAAGCATCCTAATTTCCAATCATTTGACTTTTGATCAACATAAATTGTACCGAGATTCAAATTCGAATGAATCAGTTTGCAATCATCGTGTAAAAACGATAATACACGCTAAACAAACAGAGTTAAATTACACTTAACGCCAAATACACAAACTGGGTATTTTATCAACATAGTTAAACCGTGAGCTACTTTAATTTTGTTTCAAACGTTAAGTCTAATACGTAAAAGTCTCTAATCTCGTAGCATCTTTTTGACAAAAAATTTCATGCTCAACAGAGACCGATGACTATGATTGTTTTGCTCCACACGTACTTTTTTCTTCCTTCTTATCACTCGAACATGAAGAGTTTCTCAGCAGTAGTTTTGGCTATTTCTGGTGCTGAAGTATCGTTTAAGCATCGGTAACTTACACATATTTGATAGAGTCCCCAAGCCAGTTCAAACAAATCTTTCTTGTTGTAGTCATCCCTTTGTGAATTTTGATCATCACCAGTTTTTAATTCTAATAAATAAACATCTAATGGTGTTACTTTTTCCGTTATTATATGAACAATTTTATCATTCTAAACAAGCAAGCAATCAAAACAATGTGTTTAAACACGTTACGGTTGATCTCGTTGTGGTTAAAAATACTACTTACTTCTGCTCCGTCTAAATAATTTAAAATATTTGGATGTCTCAATGTTTTCATTCGTTTTAATGCTGATTTTGCTAATTGAAGCTAAAATATAGAGAAAACAAGAATAACAAATGATTATATTCCTCTCTCAATCCAATTAGCGTACATGCGAATCGTTCTGACAAGTAAATATTGTCACTAAATCGCCGGTCGTCTAAAAACAAAGAAACCATTAAAAAATTAGAGTAGGAAGTAACAAGGAACACTAAGTTACTCTACAGTCTTAATCAGTTGCACTTGGTTAAGACCAAATATGGCAGATCACAGTCGCTTTGATTCCGAAACTTACCGACTATATTTTTCTTTAATGATCTTAATTAGGGATGGTATATTACTGTTACTCATGTATTACATTACCAAAGAAACTAATACTAGTTTTTTAATATATTCGCATTCATCTAGCGGGCAGATGTTGTGCAGAAGTATAGCTCAATGTTCGGCGATGTGTCGTTCAAGTCTGTATGAAAAATAATCTGACAGCATTGTATAGAATAAGAGAATCCAAGAAATGTGCAGATAAAAAGCGAGTAAAGTACAGAAATAACTGCAAAAATTTTTCATTTGTGTAAAAAATTCATTTTCATTTGTTCAAGTCAGAAAAGCTTTTGAATATTCTTTCGAAAAACTTTTTCTCGTATTATTTTACTGGAAAGTAATACTAATATTCCTATTATTAGTAGCAGGAATACTATTTAGTATCACTGTTACCGACAATAGGAATCTATATAATATTTGTATTACTAGTAACAGTAATGGTAATGTGCCACTCCTAGTCCGAATATATTAGAGAAACAATTGTTTTTGTTTCCTCGAAATGTCACATCAGTGATGCTAAGAGGGCATTCAGTTTCTGTTGGTGTGTCAATATCTTTCATTTAGTTCGATGAGTGAAAACGTGTTTTAACTCTTGACCTTTTTTTTTCCAGTATATTTTGTCCATATCGATCTTCCATCATTTAAACCATTTGTATCAACTAAATCATAACCTGAATCTTTTAAAGGATCTTTGGAAAATAATGAACCCCACATTAAAAATGATCTAAAAAAAGAATAAACAAATTGACTTTTGATACATAAACTCTTACGATGAAATTGAAAATGAGGAGGAGTAGATTGTTCTAAGTAAAACAACAAAAGTACTACTAGAAAATGTGCATTAATTTTGTTAGTACAAAGAAATGGGTTAGATTTTTGTACAAATGTTTCAATTGCTACCAATAAGTTCATAAAATGTGATATTTAAGATTTTTGTGATATAGTCCTCTATACATTTGCTTTTAAGACTATATCTTTGGTTATTTATTTATTTTCTCTTTCGATATAATCATCATAAGGTAGGATTAGAATTAAGGTGTAAGCACTATGTGAAAAAAACGCCAGAATTAGGTAAGATGAATGAGCAGTTGCGAATAAATTGACGATGTCCCCTTAGTCATCAGTTTTTCCTGTTAAAGATGATCATTTAAAAACGATAAGTGAATACATTAAATCTAAGGAAATCAATAGTGTCAAATCTGGGTTTCAACACGCAATTTTTAATTTTACCCAGATCAACGAAAACTGACATTTAATAACTACTGAATTTTGTGCGTTATTTTACAGTGAATCATAGCCTAAAAACAGTCATTTAACTGTATACAGTTGAAACTGAAACTCACAAGTTGTTCAATATCACACATGGAATGATCTCCACTAGAAACAATCGAATCCGACAAAATCCATCTATATGAATGAATTCTAGCAATTGCAGTCTCACAATCGGAATTCCTGTTGTCGAAACTCGTTGCTCACAGATCCAAACCGTCAGAAATTTCAGTCATTTTCTTTTTAATATTCTGCATTTCTTTTGCACGCTAATGACTTTTTTCTTATCACATAACTTTTACACGTCATCAGCGAATTTAAACGTCATACTTCAAATAGCAAAAATATTTTCTGTATTTTTGACATTTAGTATTCAAATGCTGATGCTAAGACAGTTTTGTGCGCTACCATACAACTTGAAAATAAAATTTTTATAATTAACACATTTGAAAAATTAATGGGTTAAAAGAAGGATAGAATAATAGACTTGGGATAATATTATTCATTAAACAAAAAGAGTATCAATAAAAACAAAATTATTCTTTCATTTTCTAGAGTAGAAAATAAAAGAAAGCTCATGAGAATAGTAAGATTGAATAAAAATACACGATAAAATAATAATAAATCGTTAATCTAATAAAAAGTAGTTTCTAAATTTTAATGCAATGATTGTAATGAAATTACTTCCCTAACTGAAACAGTGTATTCTATTTGTTTTTCTCGTAGACGGTATAAAGTGAATCTATTCTAAAAAAAGGACGAAACAGTCCAATATGAGAGTTTCGAAGGTCTGCTTCTACGAGCCTTTTTACTGATGGTATCGATATATCCAGAAAAGCTTATGTTTTAGAGAGAACAAAAAATCACAGCTATTGAACAAGAAAAACACGATTTTCAACATTTGACTGTTCATCAGCAGATAAACATTTCGATAAAAAAACAAGTTCTCAACATAATTTATATACAGTTTATCTGTCTTTTGTTTATCAATCTTTCACTCCGGAATTTTTATATTGTTTCATATTTTTCTCCTACGTTATAAGTAACGATTCACAAAAACAAGAAACTGTAAAAATCGTTAAAGTTCAAATCGTACGCGATACAATTTACTTTTATAAAACTCAAGACTGTATTTACAAAAAGTGCATGCGTTTTTTATTTTTAAAAATAAACGACAGAACATATAAAACAACAGGATGTAATACCAGTTATGATTGCACGCAAAGTCTGCAATTTAAAACGCAAGAAACATGACATCGTAACGGGACGACAGCAAAAATTGACGGAAAAGTCATTTAAAGAAACATTTTTTTCTAATGTCACGATAAATGCATTGAGGTCAGCCGAAAAAATGTCCTGCTGTTGCATAAGAAAAAAAACATCATTTTTATTGTAACTATTCTTGGCAGAAGTACTACAGCGAAAAATTTGACTTTATACCGTTCAAAAAAGCAAACGTGTTATACAGAAACGACGGTAACAAGTGTTACATGCTCGCATATTTTCTGATGTCATAAAGTGTATTATATTAGGGTCACATTACAAGTTCGAGACCAAATCGTGACCCTGACACGACAACTCTTTTATCATAAATATTATATTGTATTGTATGTCGCCTTTTTACCTCTTGACATTTTTGACACTGTATCGCACATTGTTGTGTTTGCTGCACACGTTGATAGGCTTCTGCTTTGAGCCAACTAAGTTGTCAAAAATAATTTATAGGATATATAAGCAATAAAAATAGATCAATATCAAAACTAAAGAATAGTGTGTCATATGTCGAATTGATTAAATATTGCGCACGAGTATATTCTATTGAAAAAATTAAAAAAAGAATTGTATGATAGGTGGCACTAAATCAGCATACGCATTAAAATATAAAAATATATAATAAATCAAAAGTCACAATTAGGAGAAATCATTATGATTTAGTAAATGCATTGAGATAACTATTTATTAAATATGCAACATTGTATGTAATGAGCGATTTTCGTTGGTATCTTTGAGAAAAAGTATACCATATCACCGGAAAAAAAATAAAATTGGTTTAGAGTTGCTGAAAAGTGGTTTTTCGTATTCAGCACATTCGATAATTCCGAAGATTTTCTATTTTTGGCTCGGGGTACTTCCGAAAGTTTAGGAACAGTTTTCAAATTAATATTATTTTTCCATGGAAAACTTTTTGCGCCATTTTGTTTCAAAATTTTTCTTAAACTTTCGGAAGTACCCCGAGCCAAAAAT